TTGCAAATGTGACCAGTGCCTCCTTGGGCGGCAGCACAATGGTCACCTTCTCCACTGCCCCTTTCTCGTCGACACCCCAGCTGAACACAAGTGCAAACTCTCCAGGCAACCTCACCTCAAGTGCGGGTCAGCCGCAAATGAACGGACCCTTTTCTAATAATAGTGCAAGTGATCCATGATAGGCTCCCAAAATGTTGGGAGGTGCCAGGTGCTTTCACTGGTCCCCTGACCACCGCCAGTACCCAGCAGCAGACAGATGCCATGCTGCAGTCCTTTGCACCTGGTAGCAACAGTGGAAGCAACGCTAGCATGGGTATTGCCATGCCCATCACTGGCAACACACACCCTTGGCAGCAGTTTGTCACCCAGGATTTGCCTGTCTTTAAAATGTAAGTAAAAACCTTGATTTTGCCACCTTCATTGGCACTATATTTGAAATTGCAAACGTGCATCAATTCGATTTGCGAATCTCCTTTTATTTTTTTATTTAGAAATTGTCAAAACTTGGCATTTAACTTTAATGTTTACAAAGTTGCTAGGGATTTTTGAAAACTGTACGATATTATCAGCTGAAAATGTTAATGTCTCTTCCTTCCAGAGTTCAAGCAATATTTCCATCACCAGACCCCCAGGCCATGAAAGACAAGCGAATGGGAAACCTGGTAGCCTATGCCCGCAAAGTAGAAAAGGACATGTACGAGCAAACCAGCAGTAGGGTAAGTGATAGACAATCTTTTCTTGTACCAGGAATTCATACCTTTTTCTGGATAATTAAACAACTGGGGCTGTGCTGGATATTCAAATTTTTGATCAGTCATCAAATTTTTGAATATTTGTTTTCAAAATGAAACATTCAGAGGTAAAAATCAGTAAAATAAAGAGGGAAGTAACAGAATCATTAGGTTACAAACTTACATATAAAGGAACCTCCATTATAACACACCTCTTGCTGGGTCTTTATACCGATTGGTTGAAATACAGTTACATGTGGTTCACTAATAGAGGTCCGTACACAAAGCTTGCATTAGTGTGAACTGGACATGCACCAAGCATCATGCACATGTAAATTCTAGAAAGTAGTGCCTGGTCAGGCACAAGTACCGGGTACTTCATTTTTTTTACTGGAGCCTCACATGAGGAGAACATTGAAGAACAACTCTTTAACGGTCAATGGAAAATAGAAGTGTTGCTGTGATTATTGAATTGAATTAAAATGGTTCACTAAAGTTTCTTTCCCCTTTTTACATTTTTGTCTTGCGGCCTCAGAAGAAAGTATCCTCTTCTGATCACTCATAGTCCCTCAAGGTGCATACAGGTAAACGTGCACTAGTGACTTCATTGCTAGTCCATCTGTGTAAACTAATACAGGTATACATGCACACTGTAAAGTAGCTGTGCGTATATCCAGCAATAATGCCAAATTACTCTAACTTGCAGTGTTCCTTTTCTCATAATTTGTGATCCTGCTGTTACTAAGGGAATAAATCAGCAATTAGGACCAATTTAGGTCCTCCTGGGGACAAATCCCTCTGCTTAAACTCAGTGAGAAAAACCACACATATGAACAAACAGAAATATTTTGTTGCTGCTCTTTGTTGGGAACTGGAATAGAACCCAACAGTTGATATTGTGGAAGATTGAATGCTCGAATATTCAATCAGCCAGACTGACTCAACATCACAAACAACTAACTCTGTATGATGTACATGTTCATGGACACTTCCTACTCTTAGAGAAGTGCAGTTGTTTACCAAGTCTCTCATCAGAGTCTTTCCACTGATGGTTTATGTACAGATTAGGAAGACCAGTGTGCATTGCAGAAAAATCACTTGGAAAAGCATTCATCCTTGCTCACTTCTTAATTCACTCATTTGTTGTTTATTGCCTGTTTTTGTCGTAGGAGGAATACTATCACCTCTTGGCTGAAAAGATCTACAAGATCCAGAAGGAGCTAGAGGAGAAGCGACAGAAGAGGATGCAGGAGACGGGAGGCACTAATACTGCTGCTGGAAGCATCCCCACAACAGCAGCCAAACAGCTGCCCCAGCCACAGCCTCCCCAATAACTTCCCAGATCAGGATGCCCAATGGGAAAATATAACTCTTTCCATCAACTTGTATCAGAATTAACTACATGGTTTTGAAGGTTTATTTTGGTGTCAGTGTTACTGTGACTCAGTAATGAAAAGTGGATTGGTAGAATGGGGCATCAGGTTGGCATAGTGACACTTTCTTCGCCTTCCTTTCTGTGAATCCAGCCCAGGTTAACCTGTGGATTTTTCAGTCCTTACTGAACTTTCTGGGTTTTTCTCTGAAATATTTATGTGGAGTTTTCCGTCCCTTTCGAAAACCTAACACTATCCTCATAGATTTGCAGCTGTAATTTGAAGTTGTATATTGTCACATGTCCCAAGTGGTTACTTGGCAGCCCATTGAAAAACATCCAAGAGATTATATTGCTATCATCAAAAAATAAATCTGGAATTATTGTTGTTGTTGGAATAACACAGGAAATGGTAGTCTTTTAGTAATAGTAATAACGAACTGCTTTTATATATAGCGCATATCACAATTTCATAAAAATCTTTATAATGCATCTCTTCCTGGTTCTTTATCCTGGGTGGCTGGTGCCATGTATGGTTCACTAATATAGAGTACCAAAGTGTGATGTCATTTTGAACCAGAAAGTGCAGTGCAAATGAATGGGGTATGTGAGCGTGTTGGTTCCCATGCTGGTTCTCGCACTAATGCCTTCTAAGTTTGTATGTGATGTATTTACTTCAGTACTCTATAAGCTAGTTAGTGTGACTCAACACGTGCCTCAACATTGTATGTATACGCGCTTCAATTCCAGAGACTAGTGCCCAGTTATTACTGGTTATTGCGCCCTCTGGAGGTTGTCCTGAATTGAAACAGTTTAAACCCTGGAAGATTCCTTTTCCTAGTTGTATAGAGTACCGAAGTGACTACGTCATGTGCATAAGTGTGTGTGTAAAAGGCATTAGAGCGAGAATCAGCGTGTGAACCAATATGCGTGCGCACTCCATTCGTTTGTACTACACTGGTTCACAGTGACATCACAGTTTGGTACTAGTCTATACAGCAATTCGTAATTAGACTGTGTCTGTGAAAACTAAAATGAACCTTCAATTTTTTGGCAAGTTTTGAAGTGCTATTGAAAGTTAAATTAAAACAGTCAAAATTACGCCTGAGAGAAAATTTTTCTAGTTTGAGGTATGCTATAAAACACATAAGGACTGGCCAAATTCAGTCACTAGCGCATGGCCTTTGCCCTCAGTAAATAGGACTCTGTTCTGGTCACTCACAGTCCATGTGCTATGCTGTGTGCCAGAAAAGCAAAGGACAGTGAAGAATATGTGGCAGAACTAGACATTTGTTATAGTTTTTGTTAGCATCTTTTCATAGGAGTAGTTCCCCTCTAAAAATACAGTTTTTGTTTAGAATTCCCCTGGATTTTCTGTTAGTGTATCCCCCTGTTTATTCACTTTGGCCCTTAATTGTTTCTACCCATATAACTTGACCCCATGCTATGGCCACATTAAGTTTTGAGGCGCAGACCAGCAGATCTAGAGACACCATTGTTCATTTAGTGTTCCTCCTAACTGGAGTGTGCGTTTCTGCTTGAGTCAGGTTTCTGTCTGCTTCTATGAGTCAGTGGTGAGTTTCTCACTTTTCTTATTTCTGTACAGAGTTCATTTTGTGTCTTTTTTATCATTTAGTTAATTTGACAATCTTCCTGATGGTTAATTTGTGGATTTATTTCAACTTTCTTTGAAGAGACTTGGAATCAAGATTTTGTTGTTAAGATTTGGAGCTTTGTTGAGCCTTGAAAACTTGCTTTGGATTCTAGTTTATTTTTCTTTTACCACATGTCTTGTTTAAAGTGTTTTTCTTATATCTTTTTGACTTGACTTTGTTCTTTTTGCCACATGTGCAGTATTTTCTATACCTCTCTTTCTCTGTTTACACTTCATATAGTCAGTAGTTTATTGAGATGGCCAGGGGATTTGAATACATAATGAGCTCCACAGACCTATGCACAATTTTGTTTGTATAATGTTTTAATCCCTAGTTAATTTTGCTCCAACTTCCTTTGGCACATGTACAAGATATGTTTTGCTGTTCCCTTTACTTTATATTCTTTATGTTTTTGCTTCACAGATTGAAAGCCAGCTCTCCTCATTAGGTCCATTTTACATACTGTGTTGGGTTTTGGTTTTTAGTCTTTTCAAAGTTTTAGTCTTGGTGTTTTTTAGTCCTTTTTTGGCATTTTTCCTGTACTTTTGCATTAATAAATTAGATTTTTGTCCCTTTTTTGAAGTCAAAAATTGGTGTCTGAGTCCTTATTAGTTCAGTTTCCTGCAACTTTTCCTTCAAAGATCCTTGGTTTAGTTAGAGTTTTTGTTGTTTTGTGAGTTCCTCATAGTGTGCCATTTTTCCCCGTTACAAATACACAAAAGAGAAAATACTATTGTAGGAGTGATGGTGATGACACAGTAGGGAAAATAAGTTCTAAGCATTACTTAGGAAACAAGCAAGTTTTCAGATTTGACTTAAAACTATCAATTTCATCTATTTCTTTTAAGCTATGAGGTAACTCATTCCACTGCTCTGCTGCTACAGCTAAGGATTACCCTCCGTAAAATTGTATGTTATATGAGGGAGAAATAGAGTGATTTTGGATTGTGAGTGTAAATTTCATCTGTGGTGATATTTCTTTAATAATTCTTGCAAGTATTGAGGGCCATGGCCTTGGAGGAACAAAAATGTCGAAGACAGAATTTTGTAAATTACATGAAATCTGACAGGCAGCCAATGCAGTTCTTGCAAGAGAGGAGTGATGTGATCTTATGGAGAGCGAAGACGAGGCTTTACAACTATCATTGATGTAGGCATTCATTGTGAAGTGTCCATCAAGCTTTGCACTAAGATTCCTTACACTGTCAGTGACTGCAACCACTCCATCATCAAGATTGAAGAATATCAAATTGTTAACCTTGTCTAAATTTACTCATAAAATGAATAAGTTCTGTTTTATCTGCATTTAGTTTGAGACCATTTTGAACAGACCAACTTTTTTTGTCTTGAACACTTGCTTCTAGTTTGGATATATGATCAGATTTTTGTTTAGTTTCCATCAAAACACATACTTGGATGTCATCAGCATACATCATACAATTCAATTTATGATAGATATCAATATCATGAATTGAAGCAGTGTACAAAGTGAAAGCTAGCGGACCAACGGTTGATCCTTGTGGGACACGGTGATCTGGGCAAGTGCAGTGTGATTCAGAGTCACCAATGATAACATTGTATGACCCACTTTGAAAGTAATATGTGTTTATTAGCCATCTCATACATTCCATATCTGTCATTTAGGCGTGACAATGATATATCTCTGAGCTGATGGTGTCAAACACTGCTGAGTAGTCAAGGAGAAGTAAGACTGCCTCATCAATCACAGAATATCATTTGTGACTCTAACAACTGCAATTTCACAGCCATGATTGGTCTGTGTGTGGACTGGGCACTGCCAAATAAGGTGTTGGCAGTTAGATATGAGTTAGATATGACCCAGAAATTCCCAGTGCCCCCCAGGTGCCCCCCCCATATAAACAGAGGAATTGATATCGAGCAAGGCTAGAAAAACTTGCCCCCCCAAATCTACATCACTGGAAGCCCCTCCCCCCATAAAATGTTGGTCCCCCCCAGTGAAATCCCAGCTACGCCAGTGGTGGTCAGAAATGTGGTACAAATACTCTTCTAATGACTGGTATAAATCAGTATTTATGGTGTATGGCTGTGTTGGTGGCCATATCTTGTCTTTTTCAAGAGTTGACGTTTTTGGCTCAATTTTATACCCACCTGCAAGTGCATAAGAGGAAAGGGATGGGAGATTAGAGAAGTAATTAAAGCACAGTTCTTGTTTTATTAGTTTCCACTTATTTGATTCTTCATTCATAAACAGAGGATTCACTATCTGATTTGCTATATGTGGTCTTGAAAGTCACAGAGTTGAGTCTTAACATGGCAGCACCTTGCAACAGAAGAAAGCTTCCGGCTTCAGTAGTGCACAAGTCCAGTCTCCCTTAGGAAACTTTTAAGTGCCTTTGATCCATGCATTTTGTATTCCAAAGTGGTCCATCAGTCAAAGATGGGCGTGTGTACATTTCAGGCTTGTGTAAAATAACAAGCCCTTCTGTGCTTTTTTTGAAAGACACTTTGGCGAATTATCGGCAAGACAGTAAAGTAGATTTGATCTTGTGTGGCCTGTTCTACTCCAGCAAAGGTTAATACACTTGAGACAAACCTAGGGAATTTGTGTGTGCAAAATGATCTTGAAGTCTAGACGAGTCTTCCACGTACTTCTTGTAACTCCTGTTGTCAGTGTAATAGTCACAAAATTGAAATTAAGTGGAATAAATATGTGGCCTGAGACAATAATGTGCCCATGATTTGAACTACACTTTGTTACACTTTTTTGGCAACTTAAACTTCTGTTAGGCTCTTGTATGAATGTAAAAAACCTGGATGTCATGCTTTTGGATTACTCTCATTGAAAAGTGGTCTTGAAATTTAAGAAGCTACTCAAGGGATCGACACCCCAAGGAATATGAAGATTTTTAAGGTATAGCTCAAATTATTTACTTTTCCGGAATGAAAGAAATAAGATGACAAAATTTCAAAGTCTTTAAAAACCGTGATATAGAAAAAATGAAAGAGGGCCCAAATTGGAAACATTTTCAAAGAAAACCCGGTCACAAGCAAAAATTAGTTTCAGAACTATTTCCACATTGCCGTTCAAAATCCCATTCGGGATTTCACCGACTTTTATTTATTTTGTCCCCAGGGAGATAGGCGAGGAGTCCCCGTCCCTTTTGTGACATCTGTGCACACTAACAAACTTGAGAGCACAGCTCTCTTAGCTACTTGAAGTTCTTATCTAGTCACTGCTCAGTGTGTAGTGAGTTCTTTAACTTGGTAGTTAGCTTACTGGCATTTCCCGGTTGAGGGCGCTGTGTAAGTTATGGCCCGCGATGATTATGCTGTTCTCGAAGTTTTACTTCCCACGTTTTGTAAAACCATGGAGGAATGGTAAAACTAGGGCCTAATTCACCACAAAAAGGACGCCATTGGTGAAGCGTTGGATATCCTATGGTACCATTCCCCCCAAACAACTGAAAAAATGG